GGGAACTGACCAGCCTGCAGGGCATCTGACGTAAACAGGAACAGATACACGTGAGGAGACCAGCTCTTGGGCCTTCACAGGTACGTTATTTAGGAGTCCAACTCTTTGAGAGGAAGCCTGAAGGCACTGGGCACGTGGTGACGTGTCATTTTGCGGAGGCAAACATTTGCATCGCACACATCAAAGATGGGCCAAGCTGAGGCCCTCCCAGCCCTATGTGCCTCTGTGGGGTCTGCGGTCCTCATTCCATAAACGGCTCCTTTCAAATCGCACCACACTGTGAGGTGGCTGGCCCATTTTGTCAGACGAGGGATATGAAATAGGATGCTCTGCGACCCAGAGTCGGTCCCTAAAACAGCAGCAGCAGCACCACCGGAGTGTTCTGTAGAAAGGCAGAATCTCGGGTGCCGCCCCAGGCCTGCTGGCTCAGAATCTGCACTTTAACAAGATCCCTAGGTGACCCACATGCAAATCAAAGCTTGAGAAGCCCTGCTGTGAGGAAGTCATGCATTTGAGAAGTTTCTTCACGTGTCCTCAATAAATGTCCAAGGTCTAGGATTTTGTACTCATACAAAGAGGCAGATGGACACAGCTAAGTATGTTTTTCTCAATAATTAGAAGTGCTTAATTGGGTATTGAGGAATGGAAGCCATGCTCGTCTGCAAATTTGTTTTCTACCTTGACCAGATTAAAAGGTTGGCTCCTGTCTCTTCTATTCAGTGGCCTGATCCCTCACCCTGGACCTGACTGAACCACAGAAATCGGGGTTCAGGAGCCTGAGATGAGCCCAAACCTCAGATGTCACCTCCTCCTACACACAGGGCTTAAGCCCTCATCCAGAATTCCTATGCCTCAGCTGTTCTCCTTGGAGACCTTTCCTCCTTGAGCTCCCAAACTGTCCCTTCCCTTCCTGGACCCTGGATACAGTAACTATAGACGGCTTTGATTTCTTCAAAGTCTGCTCCAGGCCATTTGGTGGGAAACCAAGCTCCCCGGGAAAGATGTGTGCCTCTGATGGGGACAGGGGGAGGGGACCTGGTGCCTGGAAGGCTCTCAGGAGACAGATCTAGGGACAAAGCTAAGGGCCCTTCTCCCCAAACACTCCCCTTCCCCCAAATCTTCAATGACTTTGTGCAAAAGGACCCGCTGAAAAGAAACACAAGGGAGTGGCAGAAAAGCCAAAGACAGATGTGAGAAAGAGATGGCAGATTTTCTGAAAAGCCAATTAGTGAAAAGGGGAAAAGGGGTTTAATGAAGAGGAAGAGATAAACCTAGGCTGGTTGATGAGTTCAGGCCTGATTTGGACCCAAGGAAGGATAAGAAACTCAGACAAGGGTGCTGGGTGGGGGCTGCTGGGTGAGCATCAGCCGGAACCAGAAGGGAAGGCCCCGTAGCAAGAAGTCAGAGAGCCCCGGCTCCCAAGCTCAGTCCTGCCAAGGCCGTTTGTCTGCAGTAAGGTCAAAGCCGTTTCCGAGTCTCGGCACTCCCATATGTAACCCAGGGATGCAGAACATGGTTTCTTCGGTCCCTGCTTTGGTCTCAGGCCAAACCCCACGAACGCTTTAGCACTTTTTGTGTGCAGGGCTGCCTGCCTGTCGCCCCCGGAACCACCTGACAGGATGCTAGCTAGAGACCCCTGTTGGGGAGCCTTCATGGGCAGGACTCCTGTCTATTCACCCTTCTCCTAGTGAGCAGTGCAGTGCTGGCCCTCAGCAGGCCCACAGAACATTGTCGTCTGAGCTGAACATTCTCCACAGGGTCCCACCTCATGCTAAGATGCTGAGCACCCCAGAACACCGCCCAGTCCCCAGGGAGGCACTCCACACCACGCTGGGACCCCAACCAGACACCCAGCTCAGCAGACCTTGGGGCTTCCCCACCACTAAGGAGGGGCCATCCCTCTGTGCCCCCTGGCCAGCCTGGGAGTTTGGGGCACCTGAACTCAAGGCTGTGTTTGGCCACTGACTTGCCGAGTGATCTTAGGTGGTGCCACTTTCCTTCTCTGGGCCTCAGTTGCTCTATCTGCAAAATGGGGTTAACTAATTCCGGTGGCCAGCCCCTAACGGGAGTTGGGAGGACAGGGTGCTCCTAGGCAGGGGAGAGGGTGCGTTAGCAGTGAGAGATGGAGCCCGTGTGAACTGGAAGCCTCAGGCGGTGGCTGAGCTCCCATGATGAAAGCTTCCTGGGTACACTCCGCCTGCCCATGGAAAAGCCTGTCTTTGGAGCTCAACGTCATCCTTCTGAACCCGGGGATGTCACAGCCCTGCTGAGCCAACGGTGACATGATGGTGCCGGGTCTCTTCTCCTTCCGTCACCCCCAGGGACTACGGAGACCGACTCTGTGGGGTCTTTGAGGGGCATACAGATGGGATTTCCCTCCCCACCCCAGACCCAAGAGGCAGCTTCCAATGCCCACCTTGAATGAGGAGACCACTGTGAATAATGCCAGCCCCCTCCAGGGCCAGGCCCGAGATGCTCTCGGTGGATTCCATGTCTGCCCCGGAGCCTTGCCCTCCCCTTTCAGAGCCAGTCGGCTCCTCACAGAGGTAAACTTTGATCCCTAGGAAAAGGCAGGCTACCCCTGAACCCTGCCCCATGCTGAGCCCTAAACCCCTGCCCATGGCCAAGGTGAGCCTGAGCACATCCTGAGCCCTGACCCAGGCCCACACTCCATGCCCAAGTCCTGACCCCACATAGTCATTCTACCAGGAGCATCGGGTGAGAGAGTGTGGGTGGCTGAGTAGCTCAGTGTCACCGCCCCCTACAGTCACCCAGCCCCCAACAGGTCCTTCTGAGGCTGCGTAGGGAGCGCCATCTTGGTCTATGGAGGAGAAACCCTTATCACCTGAGCAGCTGGAACCAACCTACAGGAAAGGGGGTGAATGCTGGTCTGAGGGCACAGGCAGGGGGTCCTCTCGGGCTTTCTTGGGGACTCCCAGTCTTACATTTGTTCTGGAAACAGAGGAAAAAAACCAAAAAGCTGTTGTGGGCAGATATGAAGGGCTTCTCAGCCTAACACATAACTCTGATGGCCCAAGGGGACTCGGGCACAGCCCTAAGAGCTCCCTCTCCCACCATGTCCTGCCCTTTCTAACCCCCTATCGTCTCCCCTTTCCCACAGCAGACACCTTCCACTTCCAAGTGGGCAGTTTTATACAAGGCCGGAACCCANAGGTCTGAGAACCAGGGAGGTAGACTGGGAAGAACACGAGCCCATCAGCCCCTCGGCTCCGTCGTGGGCAAGTTAAACATCCAGGGTCCAGGCAAGCCCTCTCTCTGAGCCTGCGCTCCTCAGCCAAGTGGGACCTGGCCTTCCCACCTGACCTTCCTCAACAGCTCTGCCAAGTGCATAACACAGGACTAGGGACAGGAAGTAACATCATACAGGGAAATCAGCGGCGCTACCAGTAACCTCATGGTTACTCCTGGATTTCCCTGTTCCCCGGGCACAATGCCTTAACTTGCAGGAAAACACCTGGGTGGCAGGGTGTCCCAGGGAGGTGGAGTCCTGGCAGGCCAGGGGGCCAAGCTCAGCTCACTCACGGTAGAGACGAAGCAGTGGTTGCTGTCCTGTTCGGCATAGAGGATCCAGTCTTTGATGAAGACGGAGATGGCCCTCAGCATGAACGACACAAAGAGGTTCATGTGGATGAAGTTTCGGGTGCAGTGAAGCTTCCTACACGGGCCGGCCAGCGGAGGAAGAGGCCTTGAAGCAGCAAACCCACAGGATTCCAACCCCCCACTCCAGGTCTGCTCTGGGCCAAATGCACGGCTCTGCGTCAGCGGGGTCTCCCACCTAGACCACCCCCTTCCTCCCACCTCTCTCAGTTCCAGGCCCCTGTCACTTAGCCCCATTGCTCCTGGAGGCCAGACTTCTCCCTCCTGTGGTCTCTCTATCTAGACAAGGAAGATACGAGCGAGGCATGTAGGTCCTCTGCCCAGGCAGGGTCTGCCTTGCTTGTGTGGCCCTGGACAAGCCAGTAGCCCTCTCTGGGGTCAAGTTTCCCATCTGTTATCCTAGGGGTGGATGGGGGAAATGCCTTCCAAGGGAGCTGCAGGACTGACATCCAGGAGACGGAGCAAGGGCTCTGAGCTGGAGTGGGCTGTGCTCATTCGAACACTGCTGGGGACCTCACCGGAAGCGACACAGGATGACCATGGCTGTGGTGAGGGTGACGAGGGATGTGCTGTAGCCAACNAAGGGGAGATGAGGCTGATTGAGCTACATGCTGGCGTCGGATGTCTGAGACACCTGTTAGCATGGGAGCCAACCCACCCTTGAGCAGGAGAAACTGGGACCAGACACAAGGACACAGTTTCTGATGCTAGACAGGGAGGTGAGGGGAACAGCAGAGCCCTGTTGAGTGGGTCCTTGAGACGAGGGCAGGAATGACCTCTCTAGGACAGTTAGTTAGCTGCAGACAGCAGGCCCCACTGGTCTCCCGGAACAATGCCTCGGAGACTTTCTGGCTTATGTGGATGAACAATTTTTGACTACATAACATACACATAAAGCAGAAGTTGGTAAAAACTTGAAAAAAATATATAAAAGAAAAACACAGTAAATGCATAGGAAAAGGCAGGGCTGTGGTTTTTTCTCAAAGTAATGGAATCATCCTCCACGCAGAGAAAAACAAAGCTGACCAAGCCAGGCCCTGTGCTGATTCCATAGCCCGAGGGGGAGGACTTCTACAAGGAGAGGTCCCCAGAGGCTGAACCAACAGACCAAGAAAATCCCCAAGGAGTCTTAGGGGAGGACCTAGGATGCGTCTCTGAGCAGTTCCTGCCTCTCTCTCTCTCTCTCTCTCTCTCTCTCTCTCTCTCTCTCTCTCTCTCTCTCTCTCTCTCTCCAGGAGAATGGCTGGGAGCGGGGGTGGGAGGGGGGAGCCCTCTGCTGTCCCATTTGTCCACTGGGAAGCTATCAAAGTTCTGAATCCCAGGTTGGTATCTCTGATGAAGGCAGGACAAAGACCCCCAACATCTCAGTGCCTCCTAGCCTGCTCCCTTCTTGAAAAGCCAAGGAAGCAACACATATGGCTTACGCCTCGCCCACAGGTGGACCCCAGAGACTGCCCTCAGGTTCTCTGTGCCCACCTGGCCCCTCCAGCCACCCACACGGGACTGGCCTTCCTCCCCAGCATCAGAAGTGTCTCCACATCCCCCACACCTAGCTGGTCACGCTCCTGATCATGAGGCAAGAAGGGTGAGATGGAAGGTGTTCGGCCTGATTCAGAATGGGTCAAGGGCTGGGGAAGGGCTGGGACAGAGTGAGCAGAGATAAGCCGTTAGGGGCATGACTGCAAAACCACCTGTAGGAAACAAACCAAATTGCTGTGGGAGTGAAGAAAACCCTACACTTGGTGGTAACAGGTTGCCTGTGAGCCCCATCAATCCCAAACATGTCAGATGTTCCTCTGATCAGGGAGAAGGGAGTTGGGGGGGGGCGGGGAGCAGGGGGAAAACCAGACCCAGTAGAGCTGCCCTCAGAGGAGGTGAAGAAAAAGAATTCCAGTTCCAATACCCAGAGCAGTGAGAATGTCCACGTGACTCACAGTGGGGGCTGGAGCAATTTGCACCCACTGGGCTGGGGTGGGATGTCAGGCAACAGTGTATATCCAGTGGCATTCGTGCGTGCCCCAGTGAACTAAGGTACCCCAAAGGAAATCTGACTTCTGAATAACGGAGACGCTAGCTCCCCTAGGGAACCTGGTGATTTCCATCTTGAGTTTCCTAGAGTGACCCTCTCTCTCTTTTCCCTTTGGTGTAATCACCATGTAGATTTGGAGCTCCTGGGTTGGCTGAAGGCTATAGGTGGGCAAATCTTGCAAATGCCCATGCTAGGTTACCCTGTCAGCAGCATCCAGGCCTGCTCCTCCTGTGACCTGAGTGCAGGGCCCACACAGCTGTCAGAAGTGATGCCGGCACTCGCACGGCGGTACTTACAAGTAGATGCTGGACTCATTGCCTCCCATGTCCGGAGACTGAAGTTTCTGCACGAGGATGACGATGATGCCAATGAAGAGCACAAAGTTCACCTGAGGAGCAAAGGGAAAGCAGATGGAAATGATTCTGGGCAAAGACTTTCCACTCCCCTGCCTCTGCGTTGGCTGTTGTTCCCGCAACAGGGTCCCCCCTACCCCATCCAGTCACGATCCCATCTAGACTCATCATCCAAGATGGCGACATGAGAGCACTTGTCCATCTGCCAAGCTTCCCACAGTATCATTGAAATGACAGAAGAGATAGAAGGATAAGAATTCCATAGGAGTACTGAGAAATGGGGAAGA